AGACAGCAAGCTATATCTTTTGCTTTACGTGGACGACATAATAATAGCTGGAAATAATAAATTAAAACTACTTTAATTAAGAGATGCATTGATGCATGAATTTCCCATTACAGATCTGAAGGAACTGCAAAATTTCCTCGGCATGAAAATAGAAAGGCGAGAAGATGGTATGTTTTTAAGTCAACGTGCCTACATGGAACGGCTTTTGGAGCGTTTCAACATGGCTGAATGCAAACCAATTGGAACCCCAATGGAAGCACGAGTAAATCAAGATGAGACAAAAACTGAAGAGATAATTGAAACAAAAACCTTACCGAGAACTGATCGGATGTCTCATGTATCTCATGCTAAATACAAGACCTGATATAAGCGTGTCGGTGAATTACTTTAGCCGATTTCAAAACTGCACTACCAAGAATCACTGGAATGGTTTGAAGCGAATACTACGTTATATAAAAGGAACTTTAAACTACGGATTATTTTACAAGAAAAATGAACTCAACATTGTATTAACTGCCTACGTAGATGCAGACTGGGCCAGTGATAAGGACCGTAAGTCTACTACAGGATACTTGATACAAGTGTACGGTGCTACAGTTTGTTGAATTACTAGAAAACAGTCAACAATTGCTCTGTCATCTACCGAGTCAGAATATGTAGCATTGGCTACAGCAGTAACTGATGTGATGTGGTTACACAATGTGTTGACTAATCTTGGTATAAACTGTAACGATCCCATTACTATTTTTGAGGACAATCAATCTTGCATACATTTACTCAATAAATGGGAACATCGTAGATTAAAACATATAGATGTTAAGTATAATTTTGTTAAAGAACTTTGCGCTAAGAAGTTTATAAAAGTTTTATATATACCGACCAAAGAACAAATAGCTGATATGCTTACCAAAGGACTGACTGGTGAGCAGTTTATTAAGTTGCGATCAAGCATTGGTATTTATAAGAATTAATTTTTGTTTAACGTTTTTAAATGGTTTAAATTGTCAACTTGAAGAGGAGTGTTGGAAATGCAAGTTGCCAACTGAACTATCATAGAGAGTGCTATGTATGTAATGTTACTATATTTCTTTATCCTTGTTTTTTTTAGTTCTAGTTCGACTAGTAAGTTTTTTGACTAAGAACGCTCTCTACACACGTGAATAATTATACGTTCGTTCTTCTTTACTTTTGTGCAATAAAGCTAATAAGCCTTTCCGTGAAATCTGTCTGGTTGTTTGTTCCATAATCCTAACACATACCATTTCTTATGGATTTTTATGCCGGATTGAAATATGACCTTAGTTTTCGTCTAGCATGAAAATTCCCCGAAATAGATGGAGTTGAAGTAACACGTGACACCGCCTTTCACGGATCGAGATGCTTTTCTGCTAAGAGTCCCCTTGCCTCTTACAGATTGCGGTGCTTTTTTAAGGTGAGTCCCCTTGCCTCTCACAGATTGGGGTGCTTTTTTAAGGTGAGTCCCCTTGCCTCTCACAGATTGGGGTGCTTTCTTAAGGTGAGTCCCCTTGCCTCTCACAGATTGGGGTGCTTTTTTAAGATGAGTCCCCTTACCTCTCACAGATTGGGGTGCTTTTTTAAGGTGAGTCCCCTTACCTCTCACTATGCAGGGTTGTTTTGTGAATCGTAATAGATACATTGCATATTTCAGGATTGGGTATTTGTATCCCATGGTATTGAGCAAATCCAAGGAACCATACAATTGTCATTACATGACTGCAACAACCTGCAGTCCGAGCACCACTTTGACAAGTACAATAGTACTCACGAATAAAATCCCGTCCAGTTTTTGCT